TTAACAAGGGGCTATTTTTCTGCATACATAACATTGGAATTTGGTATTATTGTGGAGTAATGTACACCATAATCCTCTTGTAGTCTACAATGTGTATTTTGCACCTGAAAAGAAGTGATTGCCTGGAGTTCGTGCCAGTGCAGAAATCAGGGAAGAAGACCCGTGATTCGATAATTCTTGTAATACTTCCTCTTCTCTTCCTCAGTGATTTTTCACAGACGAAACATAATTCCTGTGATTTGATTTGAAACCAGAGACCAGCTCAGTGCTGAAAGATGAGATCAAAATGGGGAATAAAATATGCTTGAATTAATTTGCATAATAGAATCAAATTGGTTACAAAGCTGTGTTTGTTGAAGGGGAGATCAGAGCTCCTGAGCTCACCAACAAGGGGACTTTACCCATACAGAATGGATTGTGATTCTAGTGCGGGCCTTGGTAATATCCTTCATTAATGATAACCTGTCTTTAGCTACCTGGAAATAAAAAGAATGGGTCCGTCTTCTTTGATCCTTCCAGCTCTGTAGGGAGGAGAGAGCTGAAATTTCAAATCCGTTTCTTTTTGTTAAGTGCTTTCGTCTTTCCTTCTCTACCCCGTAACAATTTCCAGCAGGAGTCCAAATATACTTAAACACCCATATATGTCATTTTCTTTTACAGAGACAAAAGCAGGCACAGCAAGAGAGTTTTATGCTCAGGGCGCAGTAGCTTATGACGGGCTATCTGCTCTCAGGATAGAGGGGAGAGCTTTCCATCTAGGGCTGGTGGTTTTGCAAATCCATTTTCCTGTCATGTTATTACTCCTGTGACTTTCAACAACATTTATTTTTCCCTCCAAGCAATATGCTCCCTTCATAAAATAAAGCCCTCCTATATGTTTTAGAGGAACCCCAATGCTTAGGCATTATGGAAAGTGCTTTAATGGAAAGATTGTTCAAGAACTTCCCTGGGGGTCTTTATGAAAGCTAATTAGAACACTGATATATTTTCCTAATTATTACCAACATCAAGGTCTTCTTAGGAGGGAGGTCTCCTATTAATTTTCATGTGAGATTCCTGCAAAGTTTCTACCACTGAATACATCAATCACTTCTCCAGATTCTAGAAATATTTCCTTTTTTTTAAAAAAAAGAACAGAAAAACAAAACCTGAAGAAAGGATTCTTGAGTACATTTTAACTTATATATTCATATTTAACCTGTAAATGTAGGAATTCTGAAACATGAAAAAATATTAAAAAGCAAAGCTTAACTTTTGTGCACTATGAATTCATTAAGGCGTGGGTGTACATCTGTGTGGGTGGGCTGATATAATTACTTCCTGTTCCTCTCTGGTCTTGCTATGAAATGCTTTCTCTTTTTTTCTTTTGGGTTTAATTCATAATTTTCGTCATAGCCTACCCCAAGCCTTCCTCCTCCTGTAACTGAAATTATTGTCATGGTCGGTCTATTGTGTGTTCCTGGGGTTGTGTTTCTACAATCTGATCCTCAGTCTTTTCTCAAACAGACATGACAGGTAGAATCATAGGGATAGGAATGTAAGTACTTGGGCAAAATGCAGGGGGTTCAATCTCAGCTCCCCTCCTTCTTAGCTCTGTAACCTGGGGTGAGTTAGTTTTTCTTGGTGCACCTCAGACTACTTATTTTGTAAACAGGAATAACATTTGTACTGCTTTGTAGAGTTGTTGGAATGATTGCGTGACTCAATTCATGGAAATCCCTTGCAAGAACATTGAGCAGATAGCACCTGAGAAATGTTATCTATTTTTCAATATTTTCATTATAATATTATTGTTGGTGTACACCCAATTACTGGCTTACTTCCCATATTCAGGTGGCTGCTAGGTTATCATTTTTATTACAGTCTCCATATAATTTCCTTATGAAATACAAAAGAAATGGAAAGAGATATTAATTCGCTGATTAGCAACAGACTAACTAGACCCAGATGGCATGGGTTCAATTCAAATCCCAGCTCACCTCTTACCAGAAGCCTAACCTAGCACAAATTTCTTTCTTTCTTTTTTTTTTTTTAGAGAGAGAGAGAGAGAGAGAGAGAGAGAGAGAGAATTTTTTAATATTTATTTTTTAGTTTCCGGCAGACACATCATCTTTGTTTGTATGTGGTGCTGAGGATTGAACCCGGGCCGCACACATGCCAGACGAGTGTGCTACCGCTTGAGCCACATCCCTAGCCCCACAAATTTCTTTTTCTTTTTTTTTTTAATCTGGACCTCAGTTTCCTTCTCCTTTCAAACAGGAAGCATGTTCATTTACAAGATTGCTATAGAAATCAACAGACACATTAATATTTGTAAAGCTTTTAGAATAATGGTTAGAAAAATACTTTTGTAAATAGACTTTCCTTCTCAAAGGGAATAAACAAAAAGTGATAAAACCCATCTTATACAAAGCTAGAGGAATCATTAAAAAAATTTTATATATTGCATAGTCATCTGGGCACTTAACATAATGAATTTGGACAATGGCATTCACAAGCAAGTTGATTTCACTGTCTTTTCCAACAGAAATAAGCAGACAGTTTTACCATCTAACAAAGCCTAAGGTTGATTATTTACTGGTCATATGGAAACTCTTAAATGCATTAACATTAAGCTAGATTGTTTTTCTTAAAAAGGGGGAAAAAAGTTGTCATCTAGTTTCCACACTTTGGTGTCAGAAATAATTGTACTTTACAGCAAAATGGCAGCCAGAATAGAGAGGTGCAGAAATATCAACTTTAATTAAACCCTTTCTTTCAAATACACTTCACAGTTTATATGCAAGAATAATTTATCACCATGTGAATGAACGTTTAATACTTGGCATGGTACAAAATGGGCAGGGATCTCACAGCACCATATGTTCTGCCTTTTCTCTTGCTTCTTGAGTTTCTATAGAGGCAATATTAATTTTGAACTTGAAGTATGTGGTTTAAATCCTATGTTCAAATTTTGTGGATGGACTGCTTTGAGCTCAGATCCCAGGTATATAGCAAATAAGATACAAACTCAACTATTAAGAGGCTGATTTCCAGTCTAGTAAAGACATAGTATATGAATCAGGGGGAAAAATTGGCCCCCACCATCTTTCACCAGAGCTCCAACCACGAATATGAAGATGGAGGCCTGTATAGAGAATTTCAATCAAGGGCTTCATTTTGCTGAGAATGAAGCAGATTGTCACAAAAGGGAAAATGATGATGTTCCATGATAAGCTGGGGCAGATTCCCACCCAATCTCACTCTTCACCATGTAATCCCAGAGACCTTCCTGTTGCTTCCTATTTGCCTCATTTTGGGATCTCACCACTCCTGGGGCTTTTCTGTGCTCTTTCCACATTGTCTGGTTGGCTTGCTATATAAAAAACATTCAGTGTCTTATTAAAATGCTGCATTTAAGGTTGAAACTGTTAAATGGCAAACTTCATTTTTGACCTGCTTTTCTCTCTCTTACACTTTTACCCACCCAAGTGCCCACATATCACAAATTTTGAATATTACACTTTCTATTATTTGAGAAGTAGCTATCATGCTACCATCACAAGTGTTGTTGAGAACAATGATTGGACTCCTGAAATTATCATTTTGCCATATTACAAAAAAAAAGAAAAAAAAAGAGGGAGCCTGGCTTGGCAGAGTCAAAGACCATCAGAAGGGAAGGAATTAGAACAAATTGGGATTCCTCTAATTCCTTTAGTTCTTAGACTACCAAGGCCAAATTGCTATGGTATCCTGAGTTATTCCTGTTCTTCAATTTCTCCCTTAGAGAAAGCACCTCTTCTGGGCACCTTCATCTGCACTCACCCCTAAAGTGAGGGAGATCTGCAGGCTTAGATTGTGGCCCTCTAGGAAAAGTGGAAGCAAGCCAACATGTGTCAGTTTTCCACTCGGTCTTCATTCTTATGTGGGTGCAAAAGTTCTCGTCCTCCTTATCATTCACAGGAGACCCCAGGGGCTCATAGTAACTGATTGACATGTCCAAGGTCATTCATCTTATAAGATCTAGAAGTGGTATTTCAATTCAGGCCTATCTGATCTTCAAGTCTAATTACCTTCCACAGTTACTGCCCATCATCCTTGGGATCGGACCTGACCTCTCGTCTCTATCATGCTCCATTGCCTGCTTTCCTTACAGTTTCCAGTCATGCTAAAGTCTTGGAATATGTTGTGCCTTTCACTACCTGTAGGGTCAGGGTCATGCTAGTCCTTCTGTCAGGTATCCTGTTTTAGTCAGCTTTTTTCGACACTGTGAGCAAAAGACCCAACCAGAACAATTGTAGAGAAGGAAAAGTTTATTTGGAGACTTACTGTTTCAGAAGTCTTAATATATATATAGCAGACTCTATTCCTCAGGGCTCAAGGTGAGGCTGAACATCATGGCAGAAGAGTGTGGCACAGGGAAGCAAAGAGATCTACCCTCACCAGATACAAAATATATAGCAATGTCCTGCCCTAATGACCCAATTCTTAACCTCATATCCCAGTCATCTCTCCTCTGAACCTTCTTGCGTTGTCTCACACGTGAGCTGTTGTGGGGATACCTGACATCCAAACCATAACATAGCCCATCCTTTCCCTTTTTGTTGCTCATCCATTCCACCCTCTAGATAATCTGCCTTAACTGCCGTAGTCTCTGCCATCTCTATTTTGGATTCTCTGTTCCTCTCCTGGGTTTTCATAATACTCCAGGTTGATCTGTTACAAGAACTTAACCAAACACATGCACAATCAATTACACTAACAGATAAATAACCGTGAACCAGGTATTGTGCTAAGAGACTTTATGTGTATTACTCATTTAATCCCTGTGACAACCTTGCCATGAGTAGGATTCTTATCCCCGTTTCATAAATGAGCGAGTTGAACTCAGAAGAAATCAATTAGCTTTCCCTAGGCTGACAAGTGGTAAGACTGACACTCCAACCTAACTGTTTACCAAATGGCAATGAAATGAGGTGAGGGCGAAGCCTGCAGCTAATCAAACCTCTCTTTGCTTGCAGAAGCCGCCTGGGGAAGTGGGCAGCCCTGACGTGATGTGCTCAGAGAGCGAAGACCTTCCGTTCCAGGAGAGGTCTGCTTGACGTACCCCGGAGGGAGACTGACCCTAGGAAAGGCATACCACTCGGCTGGGCTGGCGGAAGGGTGACAGCTGCATTCTCCTGTGCCTACCACATAACCAAAAATGAAGGAGAACTACTGTTTACAAGCCGCGCTGGTGTGCCTGAGCATGCTGTGCCACAGCCAGGCATTTGCTCTGGAGCGACGAAGCCACCTGCGGCCCTCCTTCTATGGACATCATGAGAAGGGCAAGGAGGGGCAGGTGCTGCAGCGCTCCAAACGAGGCTGGGTCTGGAACCAGTTCTTTGTGATAGAGGAGTACACCGGGCCTGATCCTGTGCTCGTGGGCAGGGTAAGCTGACTTTCACGTGACATTTACCTGTTTCCCTCCCCCATGGGAACAATACCATATGGACAATAAAAATCAAAAAAACAAATAGGGAAAACACACAGGATCTGACATCAGTGAAAACCCAACCTCATGCACACACCTCCTCTCAGTCTTTCCCCAAGATATAAACTTACTCATGTTTCCCGCTTAATGCAATACCATAATATTGTTTTTTTCTCAAGGCTGCTTCATAGTCTACTGTAATGGAACTGATCATAATTTATTTAATCATCCTCCAACTGGGGGGCATTTCCTTGATGACGTTCTTTCCCCCAACTCGGCTACCTTTCCTTTGTATTTTCGTAACTCTCTTTGTGCTTTTTATCATACCTTGCTTTGCTGTATTATTCCTATCTATACGTTTCTCTCTTTCTCACTAAACTCCAAGGTACTTTGCATCAGAGAAAGGGTTGTGCTTGTGTCTCTGGGTTCTGGTTCTAAGCCCGACTTTGAAGAGATCCGTGAAGGGGGTATCACAGGATGGGCATAATTTTATCCCTGTTGCTGTAGGGATGGGAAATCCCATGGGAGATGTTTTCAGATTCCTAGCCTTACTCGGGTTCTGCCTGTTTTGTGTAGCATTACCAAAAAAGCTTTAAGGGTAGAGGGTCCAAAATATATTTGGGAAACTGACTTGCCACTCTCATTTATGGTAAAATCTGCAGGTATTTTTCAGATGATAGTGATATGAATGACAAGGAGATTGTTATTTATAAGCATCAGAAGTGAAACCCTACTGTGTGTAGGTGCAGTGCTAGGCATGTGTTAAACCAGGTTAAAAATAATTCCTGGCTTTGAAAGAGTTTGGAGTATAGGGGCAAAGACACAGTCTCCTCAGCAGTCACAAAAGAGAAAAACTAAAATGAGAAGGAGGATGGATGAAATTCAATAAAAGGATGATTTAGGATCTAAAAGTTCCAGCAGAAGTTACTCAACAAAGGGGGAAAGAGGCAAGGGCAGAGGTCTGGGGCATTTTTGAACGCATTGGATTCCAACAAGGTTATCTTCACTGTTCCTTAGCATAAGGAATAAACACTTCATATTTATATCATTGGCATACTTGGAGGGGATTAGGAAGCCTCAGTAATATTGCTTGGGGTTGGGAACATGTTTTTGAAAAAAAAATGTACCAAAGGAATTTTATCCATTTGTACCCCAAATGAAAAGCTGTGGATATAGCCCCAGGAGGTGGAAATTCTATTAAGTAGAAGAGACAGTCTCTGAGCCTTCAGCTGAGGCAGAGGTTATGTAGCTTGAGCTGTATGTAGAGTTCCATGTGAATAGTTCCAAAAAGATAGAACCTGCTGCTGTGGGGCTTTCTCACTGGGGATCCATGATGTGTTGCAGTGGGAGGGCTACACAGAGGGCAGGATCTGGGGAGCCATGTCATCATCTCTGTGGACCCAGCCATGATCATGGCTACTAGAAGGGAACATAGGAAAAAGGGGGAGTCAAAGTGTCTCCGCAGCTCACACCTGAGCATGAGCCTCATGTCAGAATGGATGTGGGTGGGAAAAACTGGCTGCATCATATGAATTTTCCTTTTGAAATGGTGCTGGTGGGCTAGTTCCCCATAAATCAGAGCAATCGAGAAGCTGACTTGTTCTGTAACAACCTTTGATTTGACGACATTCAAGGTTGAATGCTTCAAGATTCCCTGAAAAAGTCAAATTTGGCAAATCATAGAGTTTCAGGTGTCTTGTAGGAAATGCAGTCTGCGTCGTGCTTTGCCGTGCTGAGGAGGGAGACCGTCCTTCTGTGAGTCAGGACTTGGCTGTGTATGGCACAGCAACTGATCCCTTGACAGCGTCCACTCATTGCCCAAACTGGTTTCTGGGTGAAGCCTGATAAATACCATTGTCAGTCCTGGAACTCCTCTTTGTAAGAGAGAAAGGGAATTCATATCTGACTTGCAAATCTGAAAACAAAGTAGAAAAAAAAATAAAACTCGAGGAAGAGTGTATTCTATAAAATTTTCAGTTCTTTGGCTGCTCATGAAATTTCTTGGTTTAATTCCTAAGGAAGGTGTCAGATTCACATGTCCTATAGGAAGGCCTCCACACACTTTCAGTCACTGGCCACTTTGACTTGTTTCCTCATTCGTCAGCCACAGGATAGATCCCCTGACTTTTGACAATTCTGAAGCAGAAAATACAGAGAAACACACCCCACCACCCTGGGAAGGGCTGGGGGCCGGGAGGGAGGGACCTTACGGGAAAATGTATGAAGATTGGAGCAATTCTGTCCATCAGTTTTAGACCATCAAATAACTTCCTATGTTATCCACAAATGGTCTTGTTCTTTGAAAGTGTGTCAGCCACGATTTCACAACAACACACAGCTCGTGGTGAGTAAGGAATTCTGAAATAAAGTTTTATTTTTTTTCCCCAAGACATCATGTGGTCCAAAAACATCCTGACCTTTGAAATATGTACCCACATGTATTCCTATGAAGTGAAATATTTGGTGTATTTGAAACACCACGAATCCATTAGGTATCTTTGGGGAAACTGAAATAATATGGAAATTTTAAAAAGCTTTATGTTCAATCTTGCTTTGTGACGGGGCCAGCTCTCTATGCTTTGTGTTTCATAGTCATAATTAAAATTAGAGTAGTAATAATAATAATCCATTAGCATTCATAATACTATTAACATTGTTAATATTAAATATAATTAATAATAACAATTATTATTTTTATTATTGTAAATGTCATTTGCATAAAACATTTCAGCTTGCTATGGGTTTTCTTATGTAGCAGGGAGAATCAAGGGCTCCTTGTTCACTTGCCTACTGTGGAAGCCTGTGAGAACAGGAAAAATAATGCTTCTCTTTTCCCACAAAGAGCATCATGAGGGTCAAACAACTCAAATTAGGATGAAGTCTTCCGAAATTGAAATGGAACAATAAAGTGTGGAGAGTTCGTTGCACAGGAAAATCAGATGAGGTCTTTGGAGGTAGTTCATGTTCCAAAGCAGGGCTGAATCAAGGTCATAAAATACAGGGCTGGTAGTCAAGTAACCTGGGTGATTTCTTAGCCTGGCAAGTATGGATTTAGGAAGGTTTCACCTTGTCTCTAGGCTTTGTCCAGAGGGAGGAACCTCAAGGATTTTAAGGTTGTTTCTAGGGTCTATGGAATTGCACATGTATTACCCCATTCCACTTGACCATCCCCTGTGGTCAGATTGGGATCTCCTTCTATGAAGACATATCCCCAGATATGTCTGCATATCAGAGTGCTGCACAACAATGATTCTGCAGAGATCTGATCAGTTGAATTGTTAGAGGTAACAAAATCCTAGACACACCCCAAAGGTCCCTTGAAGAGGAGGGCGAAAAGAGATGATAATAATATGCACACTGTGGGTGTGGTAGACCTAGATATATCCACATGGAAGGGCACCTGAATTTGCTGTTAGAGGAAAATGGCAAGGCGAGGAATGAAATGTGTGCTATGACCTTTATTGGGTAAAAATAAGCTAGGACGCATGTGAGTGAAGATGAGAATATCTTCCAGAGGATGCACATGAATCTAATAACAATGATGACTTTTGAGCAGAGAAGATGAAGGAGAAGGATCCAGAAATGAGAGAAAAGCTTATAATTGCATAAATGCATTTTTAAAATATGATGCATTTCTTTCAAAATGAATATTATGATATATGTGTATGTGTGTATATTTTGTATGTGTGTAAGTGTATGGAAAGAAGGAAAGAAGAGAATGAGTCTTAGAATAAAAAAGAAAAAACGTTTGAACCTTGGCCTGGTTGTTGCTCAGTTGTGTGACCCTGGCCAAGGCAAAGATCTTCCTTAAGATTCTGTCTCTTCATTTGTAAAATAAGGGTGAACTCTTATGATGTGTGTATGTGTGCACATGCACATATGTGTGTGCAGAGATTGTAGCAATCAGCGTGGGGTCACTTTCTCCCTGCTCCATCACTTGTGAAATTACAAATCTCCGTTTCTCTTTTCCTAGCTCCATTCCGATATTGACTCTGGTGATGGGAACATTAAATACATTCTCTCAGGTGAAGGAGCCGGAACCATTTTTGTGATTGATGACAAATCAGGGAACATTCATGCCACCAAGACTTTGGACCGAGAGGAGAGAGCCCAGTACACACTGATGGCTCAGGCAGTGGACAGGGACACCAACCGGCCACTGGAACCACCATCGGAATTCATCGTCAAGGTCCAGGACATTAATGACAACCCTCCGGAGTTTCTGCATGAGACCTATCATGCCAATGTGCCTGAGAGGTCCAATGTGGGTGCGTAAGTGGGGAAGACCTGCTCCACTTTCTTACCTGGTGTCCCTGCAAGTGGCCAGTTTGGTGCCTGTCCTCCCCATTCAGGAAGTAGAACTTGTGCTGTGTCTTTTGTGGAAAAATAACAAACCCCACTTTTTCACTGGTGTAGTGGGAAGTTCAAATGGTTTTGAGGTATTAGAGCTTAAGATTTTTAAAGGACAGAGAAGAGGGAAGAATGTGATTGAGTCTGGGTAATTCTGACCTTTGTATTCTCAGGTGTATGAATCAGAATCAACTATATCTAGTCTCTTATCCTTCATTTTCTCTTCTGTGAAATAGGAATGGGCCATATTGGTTGGAGTTCAGTAAATAATAGCAATGGTAGTCTTTGTTGGATGGAGACCATCTAATAATATTTTATCTAATTTTTTTTCAGGGTGGGTATAGTGGAGATTGAACCCAGGGGCATTTAAACACTAAGCCACATCTCAACCCTTCTAATTTTTTTTGTTTTGTTTTGTTTTGAGACAGGGTCTCACTAAGTTGCTTAGGGTCTTTTCAGGTTGCTGTGGCTGTCCTCAAACTTGCGATCCCCTTGCCTCAGCCTTCTGATTTGTTGGGATTATAGGTGTGCACCACCGTGCTCAGCTTTATTTAAATTTTTTATGTGATTACATAATTATTTATTTGCAATGTAACAGGTCCAACTGCGTCTATTTTATAGATTAGAAACACAAGGCAGAAGTAGGTTAACTAATTTACTCAGGGTCATCTGCATGATTAAATGGATCCAGAATGCACAGTTCACTACACTTCACCACATTATGATACCTGTGGATTTAGAAGTGGGTGTGTCATTCCAGTGTGTTTGAAGGCACACTGCATTGCTAAGTGGTAGGACTCTGAAGGCATTCTCCATCTGGCCACCTTCTGGTGATAACTTCCGTTTGGCTTTCTAGCACACATGCAATTGAAGTCTTTTGACAAACACACCTCAGATGAGAAAAGGTCTGTCTTTCACACAGTGGGCAGGCCTGTTCTGATCAGGGGTACATGTGATCACATGAGCTCAAACGAATGTAGGCACCATCAGCATCAAACAGTCCATTTTGATGAATGAGCAAACCAAGTCCTAAGTATGGGGGTCAGCCGACTCAAGAATATTAGATGTGTCCTGACAGCCCAGAGGCCCTCCCACTCTGCATATGGGAGCCTCTTGGATCCTCCTTCCTCTTCCAAGTAAATTCAAGCTCTTCTCATACTTTGTGAAATCAGATCAAGCCATTTTCCAACCTCTTCCCTTCCCACTTCCCACAGAGGATTTTTTTTTTAACTTTCTCAATATGTAGGTCTGGATTCTACAGAGAAATAATAGACATTAAATAAATCTGTATAAATAGGGGATGGCAGAGTCAGGAACTGAGCTGCGAGGACAGTGGAGAGGTGGTATGGGAAAGCTAGCTATCTAAAAGGATAACCCACAGGAATTTTTATTGTTCTCAGCACTATGGTCCTGGGTGCTTCGGTATAGCACCTAGATTCTCCACAATGGCATATAAAAGTGGAGTCCTGGGTGTGAGACAGTACTGGGACACAATCCTTACTGTACCTCTGACCAGCCACATGAACCCAGGCAACTTCTCATACCTTTCTAAGTTTGCATTTCATCATCCATAAAATAAGGTTAAGTAAAAATGGATTTAAAATACAAAGAGTTGAAAAGCACTTAGCAAGAGTTTTAGAAGTAAATGAATCATGAAAATTAGTAATTTGCTTAGCTGTGATATGATCCTTTTCTCCTTTGTAAAGTCTCCATTGGAGATTTGAATTTGGGAAGAGTTCAAAAAAGACCATTCGCATAAACAATGAATGATGGGAGGTCACCAGAAAAGAGTGAGATGTACTTGGACAGGAGATGAAAGTCCCTGACAACACTGTAAAGTAAGAACAGTTAGAAACAATGTCTCTGGGCCTCCTTGACTCCCACACAGATCCTTCTTCTCTGATGAAAATGTCCGGAAGGAACCAGCTGTTTTCTTTGCTTGCTGAATTGGGGCTAGACTCCTGACTCTGGCCATAAACAATTTGTGAAAGAGATTGCAAAACATCATACCTCTCACTCAAATGTCCCACAAGTAAAATGGATATAAAAAACACCCAACAGAGGAATTCTGGCAGAATACATGGAATGAGTCCCAAATGGTGCCTGGTGCAGAGAGGTTGGGAAATTGAAAATTTTCTACTTCCAGCTCCTCTTTCCTCTCTCCAGTGTGCCATACCCCAGATATTTGGTCCTTGTGAGCAGCAAAGAACTGTTCACTGGTTTATCCTCTTTGGGACCCATGAATGCATGCCTCAGATCACACTAGGTGCCTGTCATGTGGCTGCTAGACTGATTAGAGGTGGAAAGATGCTGTTTTCATGTCAGTAGGGAACAACGTTCTGCACAATATTTATAGCCATAAATTAATTAAAATGTAGTATTAGCTGCAATTTTATTACATGCAAGGCTACAATAAATGATATATTTATTGCCAGGCTACAGATGGAAGGCTGCACTCTGTCCTTTCATGAAACGCAATTCATCATTAATTTTCATTTATTATGCTCTTTGGGGAGATTTTTATTTAATTATTTGATATACTGAGCATTTCAATTGCATGAGTCTTAGAATGTTTGGGCAATGATGTTCATATTATTATTTTAACTACTAAGCATAGTGGAATGTAATAGGAATATAGAAAGTTTTGTTTTAAACCATGCAATTAAAAGGAACAGGAAAGAAAGAGAGAAGGAAGAAAGGAAAAAATAAAAATCACTTTGCATCTCAACTCCCGGAAATGGAGAATCTGTTGACTGATTGTGAGGCCCTCCTCTGAGTTTCATTTTAAAGTAAAACTTTATAAACAAGAACGTAATTTGAAAAGCCAAGGGATGTTTCTAATTAATTTATTCCCCTTTTCAGGAACATCAGTAATCCAGGTGACAGCTTCTGATGCAGATGATCCCACCTATGGAAACAGTGCTAAATTAGTGTACAGTATCCTTGAAGGACAGCCCTACTTTTCAGTGGAGGCACAGACAGGTACTGTAGAATGTCACTGTCATTGTGATTTGTGATGCATTGGGAATAAGGAGTTCACACCTGTTCATGAAACCTATCGGAATCCCAAGTTTTCCCAAATCTAACATGAAAATAAAGAGGGCCACCTTAGAGGAATCGTGTGAGGATTAGACACTCCATGCATGTGCCTGGCAAACAGTTGGCTTACAGTGTGACATATTTATTATTGTTGTATCTGTGTTTCACCTGGTTTCAACAAATGATTTCAAACTTCAACTTGAATGTCAGAAAGGTCTTGAACTATGGATCCAGATTAAGAGACCACCAAACTTGGAGCCTGGTGTAAATACCAGTAGCTCTCAAAGCATGCTTTGAAGACTACTGTGCAAGCTAGGGAGTGTCAGTTAATATTCATGTTGCCTCAGGAGAGAGACAGCACTTTCCCAATCTCCCCTGCTGTGAGCATAGATTACCAGTGGACATCAGCATCTAGATAAATAATTTATACATTTCTTACAGAAAACAAGAGCAAACCAAAAAAAGCGAATCAATACCATGACTGAAACAAAAAAAACAAAATCTGTCACTTCATTTATACCAAATTTGACTCTTGACTAGAATAAACATTACAATCCTACAAAGCTGATCATCCATAATATTATTTCAGGGGCCTGTATGTCCCATTGTTTTAAAAGATATTTACCAATAATCTGTTCCTCTACTTATCACTAATTTGATAACATATATATGTGTATGTGTATACATAGCCTACCAGATATTGTTCATTTACTTGGTATAATTTCCTTTTACCTATGTATTCATTTATTTGCTCAGAATATGATTTATGCAGTTAGTTGCTATGATTTCTCAAAGGCATTTCTCATAACCCTTTCCAGGTTAACCAAAAATACATATGGGACTTCATCTAGATTGTTGATATGTTTAAAATTGGAGCCTTCTTTGTCTCAGGGATGCACTAATAACTACCGGTTGGAACCTGCCAAATTTTTTAACAGATAAGGAAAAAAAAATGAGACCCAATGATTTCTAGGGTATTGCTCAGAAACAGAAAAGTGTTGGGGAGGAAGAGACAGATCAGGACTGAGTTTCTTCAGTGCTCTTTTTATACTTTTAGGACAAGTACTACCTTATCTGCAGAGAGAAAAAACATTGCACATCCTCCTTGAGATTGAAGTGCAGAGTGGTCATGCCAATCATGTCCCTGTATCCAGGGATTATGATGAATTCAATCATGAATTTATTACTGTTGTCAGTGATAGTAGACAGTACATATTTGTATAAGCATTGCATATATTCCTAAATCATTTGTTTTGCTCTTTCAAAAAATTAATATTAGCATTTTACAGTATTCTGTGAAATATATGCCTCCCACTTTAAATTGAATATGAGCAATAAAAATGTTTCTAATGATTACATGTAGAGATAGATTTCCAAAGATCCTGCTAGAAGTTCAAAGATATGGGTTTAGCCATGGACAGCCATGCAAGTGGGAACTCAAACTTCAGAATTTTTGCATATGAGAAAAATGAGGTTATTATTTGCATGCACAGTGAAGCAAACAAAATGAAAATTAATGCAGTTTACATAATCTTCATGATTTTCTTGAAAAGACACTGATGCTTCAGGTGTGGTTACTTTCAGTTACAATTATCATGTTAAAATGACTTTTCTTTCAGAAAACAGGTTGTTTTACTCATCCGGTGCTTAAAACATTTCGTTGCTGTAATGTTATAAATGAGTATCGGTGATGTTTCCTGCTCACCTGCCCAGGTATCATCAGAACAGCCCTTCCCAACATGGACAGGGAGGCCAAGGAGGAGTATCACGTGGTGATCCAGGCCAAGGACATGGGTGGACACATGGGCGGACTCTCAGGGACAACCAAAGTGACCATCACACTGACTGATGTCAATGACAACCCACCAAAGTTTCCGCAGAGTAAGTAGGTGGGCTTGGCTTCACTGTTCAGCACTGCCCCCACGAGCAGCCCCCACCCCCATCTATATTGACCCGTTCCTGCTTTACTCAGCTTGTGAAAAGGAAAATGCAGAAAACTAGGAGCTCTTTATGTCATTCTTGCAGAAGGTAAAGGCAAGATGACAACAACCACAAAACTTCAATGGAATAAAGGTAGTGGGACAAAGAGAAGGCGTGACAATTTCTATGACTCGTTTTGCTAGGGATTTTATCTATTATGTACTAGCACTGTGATCTAGTATTTAACCTTCCTCTGTCTTAATATTCTTATTTAACCTGGATATGATAATATCTAAATCAATCATTTGTTACTCTGTAACAAACTGCCTATGAGTTTTTTGTTTGTTTGTTTTATCATGAGTCTGTAATTTGGACAAGGCTTATAGGACACAGCTCTTCCCTGTTTTCCACAGTATCAGCTGCGCTCAGCCCCACTGAGGCTGGAAGATCCACTTCCAACCTAGCTTTCTCACATGTCTAGTGGGCCCATATTGATTTTTGGCTCCTCTCCCTGTAAACTTTCGGTCCCAAAGACAGGAGCCCCAAGGACACCAGACAGAAACTGCATTGCCTCTTGTGACCTAGCCTCTTGAAGTCACATCGCATCCTTTCCAGTGTGGCCAGAAGGCTACCACAAGTGGAGTGGAGTGGCTATAGACCACACCTTTCCATAGGAGAACCATCAAAGTCGTGTTCAAAAGTGTGTGGGATAGGAATTATTTCTTGACCTCTTGGTGAAAATGTGATCTTCCATAGTATCTAATTAGTAGGATTACAGTTAGGACTACAAAAGCTAGTATAAAGTCTTAAAATGACAAACGAATGTCAGCTGCTGTTATCTGGGTTGTTCTAAAAAGTTTATAGAATTGCTGAGGGAATTAAAAATATGATTTTGGAAGTTTGTGATTAATAATTGTGATTACAACAACCGCCTTTTCTATTATTTAATGATTAGTCGTTAATATTATAAATCCCTGCAAAAAAAAAACCCCACATTTCACAGATAAAACTGGCTTCCATCAAAAGTGGCATAAGTTGCCAAAGGACTGTATCAAAGTCAAACTTTGAACACAAATCCCTCACGTATACGGAAGTGAATACAAGGGTAGAGTGGGATCACGATGCTAGACCTCGGGAGTGGGGTTCACCACAAAGGTATCTCTTTTTTGAGAAATCCATAAATTTATTGCCAGTGAGATGGCACTGAAAATGGAAGAATAAAAACAGATAACCAAATGTGGCCCCAGAGAGGCACCATGGTTACTCAAAGCAATCCAAAGAACAGTCTAGAAAATGGAAACACTGAGGTGGAAGATTAGAGGCAACCATCAGTTCTCATAGGGTCTCTCCAATGAGGAAAAACTGCTTTGCCTGGTTAGGTACAACATTCAACATCAACAACAAGATTAAGGCCCATATAACATTTGAAAAGCCACATGCTTCATTATCCACACTATAATATTGTTTGATGTGCTGGAAGGAGTAGGGCACATGGGATTATTAATGCATAGCTGTTATTGTTCTTGCTCATAGAGAATCCTATAGTAAAGTTAGTGTAGCTATACCAGCTGCACCAGTTTCATGGTCATGAACTTGAATGAGATTTGTAGGAACTCAATTTATACCAGGTTTTCTAAGCCTTTCCCTATGTTGGTGATTATCTATAGAAATTCCCACCGTGCCTTTAACATGAAAGGCACATGAGATGAAATTGAATATGGTTCTGAACTGAAAATATCCAAAGCCAAATAATATAAATACAGAGTATTGTAAGGAAACTATGAAAGAGGAAAATAAAACATAAGGAATTTAACTCATGTGCCTTCCACTGCCTTTTTTACACAACTAAGCCACAACCTACCTGCATACCATCATCTCCTAACAGAAGGCCCTCTTGTCTCACCAGCTTTCTAGCTAATGTGTATATATCAGGGTGCTGCCATTGGCTTTAAGTGACTCCACTGTCACTGCTGCTCAGTCCCTTTGGTTGAGATTAGATATCTTCCTCTAAACATATTTGGCCTCATTCTTCAAAATCAATCTCTTTCTCCTTCTCGCCCATACAGATTTATCTTACACTTGTGTGTTCACTCACATTCATACACATACACAAACACACTTACATGAATATATGTCACACATTCATCACACACTCACAACATATTCAAACACACAACCACACACTTTCACACCCACTCGCACAAGTCCCTTACCCATTCACACATACACACTTGCCCTTGCATAAATCCTACACACATAATCACAACCCACTCATCACCCTAAAACCCTGGCAGTGCAATGACATTAGTGTGTACATATTTGTGGATTTTTGTTCTCTTTTGTGTATCTCCTCAAGGGGGAAATCTTGACTCTTGCCACTGAGTTTGTGCAGAATGGAACAGTGCCTGGCACATATTAGCTTTCCAAGAAATGTTGAATCAATATCTTTGGAAGGGCCACACTGTGGGAAAACTTTTCAGAGAAGGTGGTGCTTCAGTTGGTGGCAGAAGAGCAAAAGTAAGAGGCAAGCCACATTCTGAACTCAAAGTGTCCTGACCTTAAAAATTAAAATTTGCATTTGATTTTAAAATAAATAGGGAGCTATCAATGTCTTTTAAATAGTGAAGGGTATTTTAGTTTATTTTTTTTCTAGGCAATTGGCAGTGCCATAACTGGTCCTTAGAGACACTTAAAAGAAGACTGAGCTATTTGAAATCATGTATGGTTCTCCACCATTCTCTGTTGAGAAATGTAACTGAGTGTGGCTCTCCTGCCTCACACGTGGCAGGTGACCTCAGCATCTCACCCGGGACCCCCGTATTGTTTTATCATCCTTTGTAGAGAGCATTCTTCTGGCAAGCAGGCCATCTGGGACCTTCTTCCCAGCCATTCACTCCTTTCATGTTTTCAATCAATAGAAAGTTCAATTTCAAACCCCTTTGAGAAATTTATTGGGATTCAATGAAATCTGAAGTCTTACAGCTGCCAAATAAAAAGGAAAATAAGAGTAGATGTCTTCTTCTACCTCTAGGCGTATACCAGATGTCTGTATCTGAAGCAGCTGTCCCTGGAGAGGAAGTAGGCAGAGTGAAGGCTAAAGACCCAGACATTGGAGAAAACGGCTTAGTCACATACAACATCGTTGATGGAGACGGTATGGAGCTCTTTGAAATCACCACAGACTACGAAACACAGGAAGGCGTGGTAAAGCTGAAAAAGGTGAGTTAGGGTGAGGGATGGTTCCGGTCAGTGATGTGGTTTGTTCTGCCCAGGTGACAATGAAGGTGACAGGCAATGGAAGGTGAAGAAAAGAGGACGTGAGAGGCACCTGCTTTGCAGTCAAGTGCTGAGCTCTGGGGAAATAACTGTTACTGCCCAGGGAACTGACAAATTGTGCCCATGATTCCCACCTGAGGTTTCTGGTTAGATGGCTTATGTTTGGGCACCTTTTTCTAGTGAATGGAAGACAGTTAGACAAAGCCTGCATTTTGTAAAAGCAGCCCTGAGCTCCGTTGGCCCTCCCCACTGAGCCTGTTAACATAGGTTGTTCAGAACCCCTCTTATTTCAAACATCCAAGTTCACTGCTCTGCTGGGCTCTTTTTGAAACTTGATCCAATCAACTTCCTTCTTGACTCTCTTTCAGCATTGAACATGGAGAAACAATAATAGACCCTCTACCACAGTCAGCTAGACCATCATTAGAAGCACATCTCTTAGATTAATTCGTTAGGAAGAGGAATTTATGATTTCCTTTAATTTTCTTTTATAAATCTAACATTAATCTAGTATGAGCTCTTGGTCAGACATAGCCTGAACCTCTTCAAACATCTTCTCACTAACTTTTTACATGGGAAAAAAAAATCATGAGCAATGATACCTCAACTTGATTTTAGAGACTGGGACTCCGATGGATTAAATAATTTGACCTGGTGACAGTCACATAGCCATAGATGTGGAATTCACGCCTAGCCTATGTTAATACAGCTTCCTTCTTCAGACACTGTTGGAAATAACTCAGCCAGAAAGGGCTTATCAAGGAAGTTCAGATAAGATTCACTTTCAAGTGAAGAAGCAGTCAGTCACCGTGTACTCTAAAATGGTCCCCTCTCCTGCCCCCTGATTTACCACTTGAGAAATCAACACCTCTCCATCATCAAAGTGTATGGAGCATTAAATCTGGATTGAAGGATGGGATTACCTTGGTTTTAATCAAGCGTTCATTTTCTATTTGGTTTTGTAGCATGAATATTAAACTTCTTGGTGTAAAGGGAAAGATTGGACTGTAACACTGATAAAAAAATTAATTTGAAGTATCAAAAATTTTTTTTAAAAAAGGCCAGTAGCTGGAGAGAAGAGAAGACAAGTGTGGGGTGGCAGAAGACTGGTTCTGGGAGAAATCTTTCAGCTGGGGGAACAAGAAGTAGTGTGTTCCGGAAAGCTGTTTTTTCATGACATTGGAAAGTATGTTGGGTTTGGGGAAAATAGGGGATGCAGAAGAAAGAGAAAGGAAAAGGTGATTGTCCTGAAAGAGTGAAAGAAATTGGGGTAGAAGGAAGTGGAGTGAGCCCTGGATAGTTGGAAAAGTCTACATGAATGATGATGAATGGTATGATTGAGGAAGACTAATTATCAGCCCCAAGGAGATGGGATATTCCTTTTTTTTTTTTCTACTTTGGAATAGTAGCTGTGTCAATTGTGTGTGTCGCCTCAAGCTGTCAACTTACTTTGTTAATTAATATTATTGTCCCTCCTGCTTGACACTAACATGAACATTCCATCCTTTGCTTGAGTAATTGGATAGTTGGTTATGCTAAGGTTGTCACCTGTTTTTAGTGTATTCCGGGCATAAACACACACCATGTCTCTAAAATTTTAAAACATTTAAATCACCCCTGTGGATCTCACACATGGCAAATGAGCTCCTCGCTATAGATGATTAATTTGTGCACTCCCCTTATTCCTATATTTATTTCAGTAAATGAAATACTCTTCTCTGAAACAATGATGTTTAAGTTTAAAACAATGTAAAGGAACATTTGGTTTAACTTGTAGCGCAACGTTTCAAATGTATACCATAAAGAAAAAAAAATCAAAGGTTAATTTAACACAGTAAAACTGTAGGTCCTTGTGGAAGTCATCATATACAATTTAATAAAAGAGTATGAAGAGCTCATGGGGACATTTTTGCATTTTAAGGATATTCTTTATTACAGTATTATAATTCATTTCTTAATATATTCTTCCACCAAAGAGTCATAGAGTTCATATTATTTACCAGTCAGGGATTTGGGGAAAGCTAGAAACCTAAAATAGAAGAGATAGAGTCCTGGCCACAGGGGTGGGGGTGGGGGTGTCACAGTTGAACAGGACAATTCAGTGAGAAGATAATCAAAATAGAAGGTTTTCTCAGCCTTGGCAGTATTGACATTTCAGGCTGGGTAATCCTTTGTTGTAAGGGGCTCTTCTGTGCACTATAGGATGTCGGGAGAACCTGGGCTTCTCTCACTAGAGGTCAGTAAGTACACACTCCACTTCACCCCAACAGGGATGATAACAACAACAACAAAAAATAGCTCTACACATTGCAAATATCCCTGGAGTGATTGAGAGCAAAATCTTTCCCCAGTTGAAAATCAACTGCAATTTCAAATGGCTTCAAAGAAAAGCAGTTCTTGAGTTGAGTCTTGATAACTGAATAGGATTTTTCCAGACAGATAAAGAGAGAAAAGGCAAAAAAGAGAGCTCATGAAGGACTGGTTTCAATGAAAACAGGACATGGTTAAGAGGCTTCCATGCATTTGGTGTTAGAGAGACAGGTACAGAGGGATCAAATGAGAAATGTTTGTTGGAATTCAAGGGCATTATAAAAAGAAAAAAAAATGAAACAGAAAAGGTAGTGGGCTGGTAATGAAGGGGAAGAATTCAAGATATGATTAATAGATACATTAATTCATTTTTTAATAGATTAAAAATTTAAAAAAAATGTTTCTTGAGTTCTGTGTCAGGATTTAATGGTTAACTACAGAAAACCTGCTCTCAGGGTATTTAGCCGATCTCTATGCTTAGACCTGTGTAAAATAAAAATGAGTCTTTTAGGTGCTGTTGCAGTCATCGGGCTGGGGCGGGGGGCAAAATCCAATCTGTTCACTTCAATACCTTGACCAAATGGGAATCCCTTGAATGCAGAGAAATCCCAGTAGTTTCTGAGCTGTTTGTTTTCAACCAAATAAACTTCTGAAGCAGTATGAAAGCATCTTTATAAGACATCTTAACTACTCTTTATTTAAATGAAACTATTTTTTACATCTGATTTTTTTTTCTTTATGTGCTTTGGCCACATGTATTTAGATGTGGATCCATAACATTTAGCATGGTTGAAATCGTAGGGTGATATGATTTGTTAACTTAATGCCACATCATAAACATTTTACATGCTGTTATATAATATACATAATCATTTTTAATGACTACATAACATCCCATCCTATTGATGGACCATTATTTCCTTAATAAAATCTCACAGTTGGATTTGGTGTTTTGTGTGTACATTTCCCCCAGATTAGATATAACCCTCTGTTATATCTCACAAATATTATGCATTTTTGAATATTATTTGTTTGGTTTTTCTGTTGAATTAATCCCTCGGGGAGAATGTTCAGAGGTGGGGATTAGTAAACTAGGGGGTATTAAGATTTTTATGGCTTATGCAGTGTGTCGCCTCATTTAGCTTTATTTCAACTACTCATAACATGGATATAAATGTTCACATGGGAAACTACCTCAAATCCTTTTTGGAAGGAGGAAGGGAATAAACTGTAAATATATTCTTAAATTTTATGCATTTATCAGCTCTACTCTTCATTCAGTCAAAACAGTTGATGCATATCATCCCCTGGTACAGCCATTCTTGGGCTTTGGAGCAGCAAAGATCAGCAAGTCTCCATAGATTCCTTTGGAATGCCCCTGTGCTAACTAAGAAGGCAGTGAGAGCTACTGAATGGCAGCTGAGACCATACAAATATGCCTGTGCTTGTTGAAAAGCAATGGGGCTTGTTCTGACTTTCAGAAGTCCCAGTAGAATCTCACCAACCTGGGAAAAGACCTTCTGGGCAAAATTGGAAAAAGACCTGAATGTCCAAGCTTGGGTTGATATGATTAAAATGTATCAATGAGACCCTAGCATCTCCATAGTCTTCTTAATATCGGCAGATACATAATTCATTTCTTAATAGATTAAAAATTAAAAAAAAATGTTTCTTGAGTTCTGACTGTGTCAGGATTTAATGGTTAACTACAGAAAACCTGTTTCCATTGGGAACATATGTTTGGGTCCTTAGCTATAGGCCTACACACAAGTTCAGTAGGTTCTGCTCTAGGGGCATTAGTCAGCGATCTGAACAAAATGTTACCTTTTCTGATTGCAAATTACCTGGTCTCAGAACTATCATATCCTAGTTCTTGATTCTGTCTAGGAAGTACAGAGATTTGTGAGAAACCGCAACAATCTCATATCGTTAGCCTATAAATATCATTTATTTCTGCTTCTCAGGAGCATAGCCAAGGATAAAATAGCTGTTGGGTCCCACCCAGGATGATGGAGAGGCTGGGGACAGATTTAGCTGCAGGAAAAGGAAGTGTTCCCTGAGTGCCGAGATGTAGGTGGGAAGATGATAGAAGAAGCGCCAGGGATGTTGAATGTGTATGACCTTCCTGAATCGTCCTTGGTTTGGAGTTGTCCAGAAGTGGGCGGGACTAAGCTCCAAGCCTGTATGCCCATTCAAAATAAGTGTTTGCCAAGCAAATGACAACCATGTGGTTGATATGCTAGCCTTAAAAGTTCAACTTTCTCCAAACATTTGGTAGTTCATCATCATCTAGAGTTTTCTAGGCATGGAACCTTGCTTTTTATGCCATGATTTTTCTTCTTACCCTTTGTTGACTGATTCATTTTACTTCCTCATTCAAAATTAAGAAGTGTTTTGTGTTAATTCAAATGCTACTTTTCAGTTTCTTTGTATCTATATAAAGCATCTGTAGTGCTTATACTTATTTTTCTTTAAATAGGCATTTATCATACATATAGGTTTCTTCAAAGGGAAGCACTATCTTCATTGTCTTGTCACTTACCATTAATAGAAGGCCACCTAAAAATGAATGCAATCAAAACAAAATTATATCCTTATAGTTTAGTTAGAGAGTTGCACCATAGACTCCCCCAAGGGACATTGGGAAATGCAATAGCTACGTTAGCATTATTTTGAGATGTTCAGGATTCAATGAATTGGAAAAAGAATAATTGTGTCAATAAGTTAATTATTGATACTACCTTCCCAGGTTATCCACAAACTACCTTAAGTGACATTTTGGGGACTACCTTAAGGGTTTCAGGCTTTGGGAAAAACAATCTGATCAGAAACCTAAAACATGAGGTTGTCAATTATGTTTAAACTGGATGTCTAGTGTTTGTGGTATGGCACTTGAAAGGAACATCACATTATTTCATCACACTGGCTCAATTTCAGGGGACATTTTTATTACCAAGATTTTTATTACTTTATAAAATGGACTACAAATTTTATTTTTTTCCTGTCTTAATTCCCTTCTTCTGGTGGCTTTGAATGACAGATTTGGCCAACCATAGTGTTGCTATACAGGATGAGGTTCCTGTTAGAAGGCATGATATTTCCATGTCTGTCCATCTCTTTGAATTATCCACTCAACATTTCAGCAATTGATTTGTCTGATTTACTGATCACATGGCACAGGTAATTGGATATTGAATAGACACTGATTTTCTCTCTTTGAGGAACTATTTACTTTGCCCTGTAAAACAATCAGCTCTTTCTCTTCCATTATTCTTTAAAGGAATTGGTTGTCAATCTTCTCTTCATTCTTGCCAGCCCGTAGATTTTGAAACCAAGAGAGCATATAGCTTGAAGGTAGAGGCAGCCAATGTGCACATCGACCCAAAGTTCATCAGCAACGGACCTTTCAAGGACACTGTGACGGTCAAGATCGCGGTAGAAGATGCTGATGAACCCCCCATGTTCCTGGCCCCAAGTTATATCCACGAAGTCCAAGAAAATGCAGCCGCTGGCACGGTGGTTGGGAGAGTGCATGCCAAAGATCCTGATGCTGCCAACAGCCCAATAAGGTAAAGATGCATTTATTTTAAAAGATGATATGGGGAATTTGCTGGAAAGAAGTTTGGGGGAACCACACTGTTTTGGTCAACTTTCTCGCTGAGTGATTTTAAGACCCAACCAGCACAATTGTAGAGGAGGAAAATTTAGAACTCACAGTTTCACAGGTCCACAGAGGGCTCCATTCCTCAGGGCTCCAGGAGAGGCAGGGCATCACAACTGGAGAATTTGAAAGAAGAAAAGCAGCTCACATCACAGTGATCAGAAAGCAGAGGCAGAGACTCCAGTCGCCAGATACAAATATTTACCCCAAAGCCACACCCCAAATCCCACCTCCTCCAGTCACCCCCTACCACTTCAATTACCACTCAGTTAATCCCTGTCAAGGGATTAAATCACTGAATTGGGTCAAGGTTTTCACAACCCAATCATTTCTCCTCTGAATCTTCTTGCATTGTCTCACGTGGGAGCTTTTGAGTGACACCACATCTAAACCGCAACCCACACCATTCCATTCCAGCAGTGTCCAGATTTTAACCTTTAATAAAATTTAAACAAGATTGAGATTTAGAAGACATGAGCTTGCCTTCACCTCAGCTACTAACTTTTTTGGATAGGTCTATTCAAGTGATATAATTTCTCTCTGGAGCAGATTTCCAAATGTATACTAAATGATATAACCTGATATAACCACCAGCTCGGCCTGTCTACGTTAATGAAGTCTGATAAAGTATAAATAGTGATTATGAAATAATTATAGTAATTATAATTTATTGAATATCTTTCTCTGCTCCAGTTACTCTAGTAGGTGTGTTTGAAATATGATCTGAATCGTCCCTTAACTTTATTGTTACATGAATTGTTCCCTCTTAAATGGAGAGAAAATTGAAACTCTGTGAGATGTAGCGGCTGGCCCAGAGTGACACCATTTGTGAGCAAGAGGGTAGGGAAGGAAATTCTGTGGGATGGCAGCTGAGCTCCTTGAACAACTAAGGATGGGCCAAATACTATTAGCATGTTTTTATCATAATGAGTACATGTGAGTTACTTAGATAACAAAAGTATCCTGCTTCCCCAATCCCATGTGGTGAGGCTGATGATAATAAGGATGAGAGAGGAATAGGAATGGGGCTAAGAAGGGACTTGAGCCATGGATTAAGACATTTACTTTGTGGAAACTTACTTACAGTTGCCTGAAACCTTTCTGGGACCAGATTCTAGCATGTTTCTCCACCCCAAGGCTGATCCTCCAATTTCTTTCTCGCCTAGATTCCTTCATCAGACTCTTCGCTGTCTCCCTGCCTCCCATTTCCCAGCCATTATTCTATCATCAGTCCTGTAGCCAGAGTGATCATTATAGGTGCACATCCAAATATCACACCATACCTCCAACAAAATATCAGTGACGGAATTGTTCCACAACGCAGCCTCTCTCTGAAATAATCTAGACTCTTTTTACTGGGTTTATGGATCTTCTTCAAATGCCCTCACCTCAGTGCCATTCTCTGAAGCACTTCTGCTCTCTCCCAATGCCCATTATTTACCTGTTCTTCCTGCTAGTTGAACTGTCTTTCTAAGTCATTACATTGTGCTCATTTTGTGCATATCCATTTAGGTTTCACGTCTTCTAACAATACTTCCAGGGATCCCTAGCGATAGACTAGCAGCCCTGCCTGGTAGCTTTGATTTCATATCATGGTCACATCTGCTACATAATGGTGACATCTATGGTTGTGTGTTGACCAGTGACAACAAAGAGTGCTGGTTACATGTCTATCTGGTTCAGGAGGCGATGGACTAGAGCCTGCAGGATGAATCTGACCACCGTCATTGTTCTTTTCTCCCTTGCTTCCTGGAAATTTGTATATTATGAAACATATGATTCACCCTTTCAGAGTGTACAGTTCTTGGTCTTGTGTATATTTTACAAGATAGTTCAACCATCACCACTAAATCCAGAACATTTCCATCACCCCTTAAATGAACCTCCAGCCCTCAGTAATCACAAATCTATTTGGTATGTTTTACTATTCTGGTCATTTCATATAAATGGAATAATGCAATATGTGGTCTTACGTAAATACATTTTTCCTGTTTACTTGATTTGAGGTTCAGTCTTGTTGGAGAATGCATATTTATTTAATTTTCTTTTATTACTAAAAAAATATTTTCTTGTAGGACTAAACTCTATTTTAACTATGTCATCTGGATGAACATATGGGTGTTTTTCACCTTTGGCTGTTATAATGTTGCTATGTACATTTTATGTTATAGAGAGAGAAAAAAGGAAAAGATAAAAGGAAAATTGGAGGATCTCATGGGACTAGAAAGGAGACCAGTAGATTAAAGGAATGCAACCAGGTGGAGGGAGGAGAGGGAAAGAGTGGATATTGGGGAATGAAATTGACCAAATTGTGTTATGTGCATGTATGAATAGAAATGAAGCCCACTGCTATGTATAATTAAAATGCACAAATAAAAAAGTCAAAAAAACCTCATGGAATGAGATAAAACATTTGCAAGTTATATATCTGATAAGAATGTGTGTGTGCGTATGTGTGTGTGTGTATTTGCACATATGTATATACCTCTTTTTTCTTGGTATATGCCTAGAAGTAGAATAGCTGGGTCATAGAGTAACTCTAATAACTTTCCGAGAAACTGCCAGTTTTCTACAATGGCTGTATCATTTTACACCATAACCGCAGTATATGAGGGTTCTGATTTCCCTGAATTCTCATCAGAAATTATTGCTTGTCTCTTATGATGACAGCTATCTTAGTGGGTATGAAAAAGATACATCATTAGAGTTTTTTTTTGTTTTTCTCTAACAACTATGGATGTTGAGCATCTCTCTAGGTGCTGATTGGTCATTTTTATATCTCCTTGGGAAAACAAAAATCTGTATTCAAATCCTTTGTCAATTCTGTAATTGGTGATCTGTCTTTTTCTTGCTGAATTCTAGAAGTTCTTTATATATTCTGGGCATAAGATACTTATCGGAAATATGGCTTGCAAATATTTTCTCTCATTCCGTGTTTTCTCTTTTCACTTTCTTTTTTTACTGGTGCATGATAATTATACACAGCAGTGCATAATATATGTACACACAGCATAATTTGGGAAATTTTATTCTACAGTATTTCTCCTTTCCCTCTACTCCCCTCATCCCCTGATTCTCTTCCTCTACTGGTTTCCATCTATTTTCATAAGATCCTCCCTGCTTTTTCTTCTTTCTTTTTTTCTCCATTTCCCACACATAAAAGTAAACATTCAATCCTTGACTTTCTGGGTCTGGCTTATTTTGCTTAACATGATGCTCTCAAGTTCCATTCATTTTCCTGAAAATGCTAGGATTTTGTTCTATCTTTTCACTTTCTTGATAGTTTCCTCTGAGGCACAAAACCTTTTATTTTGATGAAGTCCATTTTTTTCTTTGTTTCTGCTATTAGGTGTTATATTTAAGAAATTATTGCCTAATTTAAAATCATGCATTTTTACACTGATATTTTCCTTTAAGAAATTTTATGGTTTTACCTCTTTCATCTTAGGTCATTGATCTACTTTGAATGAGTTTTTTTTATGTTGTGAGGGAGAAAATCAATTTAATTACATTGTATATGAATATTAATTGTCTCAGCACCATTTGTGCAAAGATTGTTCTCTATTGAATGGCCTTAGACCCTGGCTGAAAATTGATCATAGATGTATATTGTTTTATTTCTGGCCTCAAATTTATTCTATTCAGCTATATGTCTGTTGCTATGTGAGTCCCTCATAGTTTTGACTACAATAGCATTTTTAGTGCATTTTGAAATTAAGAAATATGAATCCTTCGACTTTGTTCTCACCACTTGTTTTTGTAAATAAAGTTTTCTGGGAAGACAATCAAACCATTCATTTATATATTATTGTAGCTGCTTTTATGCTACAAGTGCAGAGTTGGGTAGTTTTGACAGAGACCCTACATCCGGCACAGCCTAAATTATTTACTAGTTAGCTCTTAATGTGAGAGCTATTTGCTGAGCCCATTCTAGTTCATCACTGCCTCCTTCCACTAAGGACATTACACATCAAAGGCAGATGTCTAAAATAAATATTTATTAAATTAATAAACTAAACAACACCCAATTTAGCTTAGAAATTCAAGTTCATTTTTTTTAGTGTAAAAGGTATGGAAATGATGACATCTCCTTCAGACATTTATTCAACACACCTACATTAATAGCACACATCAGGGGTGGGAGAGGACATATCTTTTTTTAAAAAATGCAACTGGCATTTACTTGTAAAGATGTGTAACTACTATATGGAAAAATGCTCAGCATCATTAATCATCAAGGAAATGCAAATAAAAAATGCAATGAGATTTTATCTCACCCTAAGAGCTATTATCAAACAAATAATAACAACAACAACAAAAAAAAAAAACTAATGCTAGCAAGGATGTAGAGAAAGGGGAATTCCTATGCACCATTGGGAGGAATTTTGATTAGTATACCCATGATGGAAAACCATAATCTAGGCTCTTAAAAGCATTAAAAGTAAAACTACCATGATTTAGTGATTCCACCATTAAATATATCCAAAGGAAAAGAAAGCAGTAGGTGGAAGAGACATCTGCACTAGTGCATTTATTGCAGCAATATTCACAGTAGCCAGGATATGGAAGCAGTCTAAATGCCCATCAACAGATGAATGGATAAAGAAAACAGAAAATGTGATATATATATATATATATATATATATATATATATATATATATGAAGGAAATGTAAACATGATATTTGGATGTGCACTTATAATGATCAATTTGGTTAAGGACTATATATATATATATATATACACACACACACATATATGCATATATCCATACACACATATACACAATGGAATATTGTTCAGTCATATAAAAGCATGAAATTTTGTCATGTGCATTTGTGACTTCAATGAACCTGCAGGATATTTTGTTAAGGAAAATCAGCAAGGTGAAAGAAGAAAAATTATAGAATCTAAAAAAGTTCATCTTGCAGAAGTTGAGAATAGCATGGTGTTTATCAGAACCTGAGGAGAATAGAAGTGCAGGAAATTTGGGGAGAGGTTGGCCAACAGATACAATGGTCTAGTTAGAAGACAGCCTAGTGCTCTACCACATGGTATGTGACTATAGCTAGCAATAATGTATTGTCTATTTGTGGCAAGGGGAGAGCATTTTGAATCTTCTCACCACAAAGAAATGATAAGTGTTTAATGTGTTCAATATGCTAATAACACTGAGTTGACCATGGTACCATTTATACATTTATTAAAACATCATTGCACCTATATATATATATGTATATATATATATATAATTGTTATATATACAATATATAATTTACTATAGGTGAATATTTTTAAATATATATGACACAGTTATAGCAATAAAAAGCAAAAATAGAGAAATCCAAATATGAAAATTACTATACGCAATGGGGATTTTCCATTTATATCAAGGAAATTGGTGGCAAGGCAGAAGAAATTCCTATGTGTTGGATATTTGAATAAGAAAAAGAGAATTACCATTTGTAGAGGATTTTCTTAGCACCCTGACAATATGTTTCATTAAGTTATTTATGAAATCCTTGCAAACACTCTTTGAGTGTGACTCTTCTAGGAGTCAATAGATGGTGATTTGGGGGCAAAGAAATGATGTGACTTCTTGAAGTTCCACACCAGTGTCGGAGAACAGATTTTCATCCAGATCAACCTTATATTCTCTCTGAGCTTTTGATTTTAGCCTATAGGCCATGGAAGGAGGTATGTCCCCAGAATGTGTGACTTGTTTTTTTTTTTTTTTTTTTTTTGGTGCAGAAAGATACATTATATAATATCTAGAGCCACTTGTAACACCTTTGAACTACTTTAAAAATGTTCATGGCATGAATTTTGAATTAGTTGTCTTTGACCTAGAATATTGAGGTGCATTAGCAACTTTTTAGAAGATTAATGATGTAAAAGCATGTGGAACAGCTACTCATTTCCTCTGCACTTCACTGACTCCAAGGATCCACATCTGCCATTGGCTATTTGGGTCATGTTTTCCATGGTAGCTGTTTTGTGCCCGTCGGCAATTTCCATGTCTATAATTATCCATCGATGCTCAGTATTGAACTTGAGCCAATCCCCCTCCCCACTACTTGAGTTCCTGTTCTTAGAACTGCCAAATTAGGAGATAAGCTTTTCAATCTATAGGCCTCTTATCCTCACTACCCAATTTCCTGAATCATTCTGTTCATCATTAAGAGAATTTGTGACCTTGGACATGTAGTTATAGCCCTTATCTGCTTGGACATTTTGCCATTTTTTTTATTAACACCCTAGAGCATTAGACACATTTTTTTTTTGTTTAGCATTTCATTTTTGTTTCTGAAATATTCTTTCCCCTTAGCTTCCTTGGCACTCACTAGCACATGCCTCAGATAACACCAGACCCTGTATTATTTTTAGTCTCCGATCGCTTTTCAGGCCTTTTAGGCAATTCAGTATTCATTCATTCATGCATTCATTCATCCATCCATCCATCCATCCATCCATCCATCCATTCATACCAGGGATTGAACTCAGAGGCACTTAACCATTGAGCCATATTCCCAGCCCTTTTTATTTTGTTATTTTATTATTTTTTTTTAATATTTTTTTTTTTTTAGTTTTCTGTGGACACAACATCTTTATTTTATTTTTATGTGGTGCTGAGGATCGAACCCAGTGCCCTGTGCATGCCAGGCGAGTGCGCTACCACTTGAGCCACGTCCCCAGCCCCTATTTTGTTATTTTGAGACAAGTTCTCACTAAGTTGCTTAGGGCCTCACTAAGTTACTGACACTGGCTTTGGACTTGCAATCCTCCTGCCTCCGCCTTTCTATTGCTGGGATCACAGGCATGCCCCACTGTGCCCAGCAAGGCTCAGTTTTTTGACTTTGACCTTTCCCTATGTCCTCTCACCTATAGGGTTTTCACTCACATTATGACAGAATTGAGTTGATGCTCCAGATTCTTTGCCTCTAGGAAGATCTTTCTCTCTGGCTCTAATTCTGCATTCGTTACACTGTCTGCTGTGCTTTTTCACCCACTTGCTCTTTCCTTTGCCGATTCACTTATTCATTCAAAATAACTTTTGAGCTCCTACTTGCTGTGACATAGTTGAAAATCAAAAAGAGGTAATTGCACTTCACCCTTCCATGGAGTTGAATCTTTGCTTTCTTAGCATTGCAGAGAAATGCATCTCCTGAGTTGAATGCCAATCTCTCCTTGATAATCAACCATTTTTTTCTGTGTGGTCCAATATGTTTCTCTCTCAGATACTCAGTCTTGAAACTCTCTAGGACTCTCCCAACCTCCCACAGTGTCTCAGTATCTCTGAGTCCTACTGGTACTTTCTCATCACATAGTTTTCCATTCTTTCTGACATCTCAATACCTAACTCTCTTTGCCTGTCTGCTTTAAAAACTATATCAGATCCTTAAGTTTTTTTCTGCTCTTCTCTCCACTCTCCCCTTCTCAGATCATCTTCCTAACTTGCCTTATTAATGACCTAAATAACCTGATTTTATTTATTTGTTTCCACGCTCAAACGTCTTTCAAGTTTTCTCATTGCCTATAGCATGAAGATCACCTTCCTAAGTCTGAGAGCTCTTATGATATATACTCAGTGGAACAGTTACAGCAATAACATAAACAATAGCAGCTATTGTTAGTTACACTGCTTATTGTATATGAACCTAGATTGCATATTAAATATTATTTCATTTAATACTTACATAATATAAAGGCTAAGCACTATTAACATTTCAGTTTAAAAGATAAACATGCTGAGTTCAAAGATTTTAAGTAACTTTTCTAATATCATTTCATACAGCTTAGGTGTAGTGGAGCATACATTGTCTATAGGACTTTGCAAAACCAAAGTCCATTCCCTTAACTTCTGTAGAACAATATCTAGACTTATTAATTTTGTCTTCTACTGTGCATGTGAGGTCATGTCAACTAAACAATAAGCTCCCTCATTGCAGGAAACTAGTCTTCTGTTATTTTTCAACATGATGCTACCTGCAGATAGCTCAGTAACTGAGCTCCTATTGATATCTGTGAGATGTGTGACCAGGCAAATTATGTTACATCACTGAGGAAGGGGAATCCTCATTCCATTCTTATCGGAGGCTGTGAAATCGAATGTCATTATGGATGAGCTCATGTTTTATAAACTAGGAAGTGTTGCCTGATGGGTAATTCTTCCTTCCTGGAAAGAACATGATCTGGGATTGGAAGATTTAGGCTCCAATATTGACTTCCCTAGAACTAGACATAAACCATTTACAAGTCCCATCTTTTGTAAATCCAGGAGAGTAAATGCTCTGATATCAAGCACTTTGCTACCTGTAATATAGTTTGATTTTTGACTGTCAACGGATGCCTTTCAGTATTCCTATTCTACAAATTTTAGAAAAACACAACTAATAATTCTACGAGCAGCAAAGTGTCCAGTTGTGAAGTACAGGAGGCATCTGACTTAGCATAACCCTTGTTTCCTCTTTTCTACTTTGGAGTTAGTATAGAGTGGGAGGAAGGGGCTTTGGAGTTGAATAAACCTGTGGAAACCAACGCTCCAATATTTGCCAACTCCAAGTAGCCTGGGCAAGTTATTTTTACCTCACTTCACCTTAATAAATGCTACTCTTCTTCCCCACCGTTCATCTCACCATGCCATAAATATGACCCAATGATATTCTGGAAATTCGTCTGCCTTTTGCTAGAAAAATAGAAAATGTCCTAGTGGAGAGAAGTAGATAAAGCCTTTGGCCCTGCGGTTCAGCACAATCTGCAGTCAATACCATGTGAGCAGAATGCCCTCAGGTAAAGGGCCAAACCCTATTTGCATATTGTACCTCAAAATTCAGAACCAAGCTACTTACCCAACTCCACAACTAAATAAACTGAAGAGATTCACTCAAAACAGAGATAGCAGTTTTCTTTAAATAAGGAGAAAACTGAGTTTTAGGGTTGTAAATGATCTTTGATGGTGAATTTAGATAAACTTGAAACGATTTAATATTTCATATGAAAAAATTTGGCAAAGGTTTGATACATTTGTGACTTTCTGAGTAGGTTGGGAATGAAGCAAACTCGCTCCCCAAATGCAATTTCATAAATATTCAGATGGTGGGTGATTGTAGTAAATATGTAGAAATATGCAACACGTTATTATGCTTCTCAATCAAATATGCTAAACAGCACTTTCATTCATTGTACTGAATAAAGAATTCCAATGCGGCAAAATGATTTCTATAAAAGATTCATGTACAAAGTTCAAAAAGTAAATTTGATTAAAAAGAAAACCTAGCTTGAGCAATTCGTGAAAAAGTTGCTTTAAGTATAGCATAGTGAAAATATTCAAATATTAAGCTGCTCCGAATGAATGTCTTGGTCTAATTGCCTCATTTGCATTCTGCTTAGGTATTCCATTGATCGTCATACTGACCTCGACAGGTTTTTCACTATTAATCCAGAGGATGGTTTTATTAAAACTACCAAACCTCTGGATAGAGAAGAAACCGCCTGGCTCAACATCTCTGTCTTTGCAGCAGAAATCCGTAAGTATTCTCCTAACAGTTTCGATTTCACTTTACCAAATATTAATCCTCCTGACTCTCTCTATATTTTAGAAAATGAAATCGCTGAGATGGACATTTTTTTTTTAGTTGAAGATATTCTTTAAAATGTATTTTCAGTTATCTATCTAGGAAAACACAGACAAATAGAGATGTTCTCTTTTCTTTCTTTTCTTTTTTTTTTTTTTTGGCAGATTTGGGTACAGATTTGGCAAGCCCACAGCAATTTAAAAATCATGATCATCATATTAAACTCAAATACAACGGCCAACACTTGAGGGGTTTTGTTTACATATAGACCCGTAGTTCTTGAACTTGATCATGCATCAAGCCCTCTTCACTGGTAGATTATGGATGGCTTATTATAACAAAGATTTCTGAACCCCCATCCTTAGAGCCTCTGATTCAGTAGCTCTGGAGTGGGACCCAAGAATGTATATTTTCAACAAAATCTTACCTGCTTTTGATGCTGCTCTGGAGACCCTACATGGATAGCCATCATGGCAGACTATTGTCAGGGAAGACCAGGCTCCATTATAAGACTTTAGAATTAAAGCATTAGAATTAAATTGGAAAGGTGGTTTAGGTCTGATTGCTTGAATATCGGCATTGGTTTCCCATCATCCTCTTTCCATTGATTTTGCACGTTTCAGCTTCTGGATTGGTTTTGTGTCAACAGTGCCTTTCTCTGAACTGCCCAAAAGGATGGCTTCAGCTTATTCTTTCCCCACATTAAGCGTGGACCAATATTTCCCCACCTGATATTTGTTGATCATCTACATTCTCTCTCCTTTCAGACAACCGGCATCAGGAAGCCAAAGTTCCAGTGGCCATTAGGGTCCTTGATGTCAATGATAATGCTCCCAAGTTTGCTGCCCCTTATGAAGGGTTCATCTGTGAAAGTGATCAAACCAAGCCACTTTCCAACCAGGTAAGGCCATTTTTCCTCTTCCCCAGCCATCAGCAATGCCTTTGGAGATAGAGTTCATTTCTGAACGCAACACCTGGAGATACCTCCCACAGCTCAAGGAGTGGACCTAGTGTTCGTAGACCTAGTGTTGCTCTGAAGCTATATTCTATAATTTCAACCCGGCTTTTTAGCCAGCCAGGAGTTTTTGAATAAATGATGTGCCAATGTCATCATGATTTATTTATGGGCCACCTTTCTCTTTCAGCCAATTGTTACAATTAGTGCAGATGACAAGGATGACACAGCCAATGGACCAAGATTTATCTTCAGCCTCCCCCCTGAAATCATTCACAATCCAAATTTCACAGTCAGAGACAACAGAGGTTTGTACTAAGGTTCCTATGCATTTAGAAAAGTAGAAATGGGAAACAAATGGCTTTTATATTGGACAGCACAAATATTTTCACTAATCTTAATAATGCTTTCCTGTTGAAGAACAAACAAGAAATAATAGTGCCACCTGTATTTTGACACATGGGCTCATTTGATGCATATGAATAAGTGAGTCTAATTTTATTTTCCATTTTTTTTTGTATTGGCTTTGATATTCATGAAGCAGTGGGCTAACCAAGTGGGGAAGCTTACAGGGTCAATATGCAAACAATTCTCTTTATCTTTTTTTTTTTTTTAAGAGGCTGATAAATCCTTTGGGGAAGCATAGCTTTATGAATATTGATATCAAGGAAAGCATTAAAGGAGATTAGTTCAACTTTGTAAGGCAATATAATCTTTCAAGCACAGGCCTTCCTCTCCGAACACAGTGGTAATGCAGTGTGGCTGGCTACCTAAAGGTGACTGCCGCATGGTCGCCTGAAGGACACAAAACATCCTGTCTGTAATAATAAAAAAAAAAGACAAAATTTAATACAACTTATGCTACTAAATTTATTAGTCAAGGAGGTTCTAGACTTTCGGGTTATTAGAAGTAGACTTTTTATTTTAAGTTTTTAATTTTATGTTTTATTTTTGTATTGGCCCAGAATGACGCAGTCCTTAGACAAGGTTGGTGACAGAGCCAGGAACAAAGAATAAGCTTCTTGAGTCAGCCACCCTGTTTTGCTCTGAGCATTTCTTCTTGGTAAAAACGTTCCATATAAACCCACAAGAAGGCAGGTGTCTGAAAACAGGGAGACACAGGCCAGCTTACGAACAAAAGACAATCCCATTCTCATCAGCTCTGAGCTAGCCATGTCTAAGGTGACAGGTTGATTGCTTTCCCAGTGACTAAGAACAGGCATCCAGGTACTCAAACCCATAGGATAGGTTGGGATTACCCTCCTCCTTACTGACATTGCTATCATCAGTGCCATAATCATAGGAGCTGTCTGTGTTCTAAGCCCCATGCCACATCCCTTCCTGTGTTCTGCTCACTTCTTTTTCTTAATTCCATAGTCAGGCATTATTATCACCATCCCCAGGTTACGCATGAGGAAACCATGTGTAAACCACGATAGTACTTTGTCCCAAATCCATCCGCCAAATAGAAGACAGCTGAGTTTTAAACCCAGACACTCAGAGGCTGGATGCTACAGCCCTAACCTTACTGGGCTGGTGATTAATGTAGAGAAATGTTCCCCGGTGCTACTTGGATTTTGAGAGAATATGATTTGACATACTTTATTATTTCTCGAACTGATTTGAGCATTTAATTATATAAATCAGGCAGATAGCAAATGAGACTGTGAGGCAAAACGTCCCAGGTGTTATGACAGCGACTCTTCTCTCCAGTGCCTTGCTCACTGCATTGCACTTGCTCTTGAGACCCAAGGTGCGAAGGAAGTTATAGGGAGAGACAGGTGCTTCAAAGAATCCTTACAGAACAGGCTGTAATTCACTTTAGAAATGATTCCCATCATTTCAAAATGGAAATATGACTAGGCGGTCTTTAATTTTGTACTTTAGGTAGGATTTTTTTTTTTCTTTGAGGCTTTGGTTAATGTGAAGGTGAACCCTTTGAAGAGAGAATTCCAGAGCCCTGAGGTGGAAGGGTGCTTCTCAAGGAGGAGAATACATGCTTTGGGTGGTGCATGCATGTAATATAGGAATTTTCTTTTGCAATGATAAATTTCTCCAAAACAGGGAGACTCTGGCACACAGGGAGCATTTAGTACATTTGTAGTGATCTGAATTGGACAAGTGGCATAAATCAAGTTTCCGTAAGACTCTCTAAGATACGCAGGCATCTGTCTATGTGTTCATGAGCCCCTGCCTCCACTCAGAATTTTCTATCTTCCCAAATTAGTTCCCATTTGCACCTGAGTTGGCAGATTGCTCTATTGCTACAGCTTCGGCTTATGTCAGTTTTCTGATGAAGAAATATTTAGACCACTGTATTTCATAACATATTCAGTTTTATCAGAAGTGAGGGATTTACTCAGTTGTCCAGAAAACCCTGGTGAGGACACGCGCTTGTTATGCCCCCAACTCTTATTATCTGCTTTCTCAAATATTTGCGGTCAAATTTTTATCTGTGTATTGATATAATCCCCAGCTTACAATTGAGGTCTAATTCCTGGCTCTCTGTTCCCAGCAATATTTCTGTTTATCAGGGGACACCTCCTGCAACGAGTGGGCTTTTCTAAGCTTTACCCAGTTAGTTCACCTGCATCACCTGTCCTGTCTTTTATTTATTGTATTTTTTTCCTTTTCTACGTGCAATCATGTTTAGTGGCTGTTAACCTCAGTAAACATTATACTAAGGCACTGTTCTCTAAGGAGCTATAGGTATTTTGCTTTGTCACAGTACTCTATGGGTATCATTGATATTTTCAAGATCATATTCCTGTGGATGGGTCAACCAAAGGCACAATCCATCTCCCTCGTCCTCTCCTGTAAGAGACTAATCCTATATTGAGCTACCATTTTTACAGGAAATTGCTACTTTTTAAGAAAAATTACTTTATTAACTATGGCAAACAGTTAATGAAAAGTCCCATGTTTAGAGCTATTACAGAACCTTAAAGCAAATACAGTCCTATAATTATCATTTAATAGAGTTTCTTGCTACTAGCTCCTAAAAGTAATTACATATTGAAGTAATCCAAAAGGAGTAATCACATTCCACATCCTATTAATAGCCTACTGAGTTACCAAATTTCTCGGCTGAGACTGTTTTCCATAGAAAACATGAGATAATGGTTTTTATCATGCTGAGTAAAAGCATCAAGTTACTTTCTCCTTGACTGTTTACTTCCACTACGCCATGTAAATAATCCCTATTGTGTGTGCCTAAACTCAACATAAGCATTCTGCATCTTTAGAAATAGAAGCAGAAAAGCCATCTTGATACACAGAAGCTTTTTCTCCTATTTTATCTTACCCCATTCTACAGTCTGAGCTTCAAAGCCCACTCAATGAACAGCAAAACCATAGAGTGCTGGATGACTCCAATATTTAAGTCCATCTTGGGCTATTAATATCAGGAACGATGCTGTTTGGGCAGATGAAGAGCTAGTCCACTCAGGTTTTGAGATGCATTTCCTTTGAAGATATCAGGCTTAGGACATTTCAAAAAAAAAAAAAAAAAAAAAAAAAAAAAAAGCAAAACACAAGAAATGTGTAATGGATAAGAAAAGGACAATGGAGAAGAATACAGAAAATAATTCATCTTATCTGTCCAGCTCTTCAGTGGCTTATAAAATTTTTTCAGAGGTTTCATTTCACCTGGTTCTTCAAACAGCCCCATACGGTGGCCATGCTGTATATTTTTAATCTGAATTTCAAATGAGGCATCAGAAGGATCAGTGATTTGCCTGAGGTCATGCTGCCAATAAATAAAAATCTAAGTTTGAGTGTTTGGAGGGGTCTGACTGGTGCACTTAAAATGATGTAAATGAATATAAAGCACATGCCTTTCCTACTTCATTATTTTTCAGCATCCTTTGTTTATCGAATAATCAAGTGATAACAATCATCAAAGCGGAAATTTCTGCAGTTCAATTTATCAGTACAGGATTCCAGGGAAAGTGTGAACAGAAAAGGGCAAACTCTTTCAATTTCCATATTAATCATAGCTACAATAATTATAGTAAAATATATTTGCAAAGAGATTTATAATTTTCTTCTATCACACAATTAACACATATTGCAGGAAACTTAGAAAGCGCAAACAAGCAGAAATAAGATGAAGAAATAATAAAATAAGTTCATAATATATTACTCAGAAATAATCACTGCTATTTTATATACCCTTCATACTTTCTCTTTCACAGATTTCTTTTATAAGAAATGCAATTATAGAATGCATTTTCATTTTTTTCCACTAAGTATGTGATATACATTTTTTTCTACATCAATAGATTAAAGTCAGTGCTTTCAAATTATCTTCCTAACTTCCACTATTATGATGTCAGCTGAGGATTGTAAGTACATGATTTTCATACAGCTTTGCCAGATATCTAATCATTCCTGTAGGATGCATTCTAGAGTCAAATTACTAGATCAAATGTTTTTGATAGATAGTGGACAGACTGCATTATCAAAAAAACTATGCCAATTTATAGTACCATTAGAAAATTAGGTTAGGCCCTATTTTCTCATATATGAACAAATTCTACACATTGTGATTATTTTTAATCATTGACAAATTGATGATTTAAATATAATAACACTTTGTCTTCCACTTTTTATCAATAGAAAAGCAGGATTTTAATAAGTATTGGTCATTTCTTGTTTTGCTCTTATTAGCACATTATTCCTATTCCTTGCCCATTTGTTCTTAAATTATATATATATATATACTTGATTTTTAAGTCTTCATATTTCATTACTATTAATCTTTTAGCTATCTAATCTATTGCATCATTTCTGCAATGCTTCAGTGTTATTTCTAGTCTGACTATATTGTATTCTTAAGTATAGACACTATACTTTTTGTATCAGGTTTTCTCTGCTTGATATTAGCAAGGCTTCTCTTACCCAATCTGTTATCATTTAACTTTTCATCTTCTTTATACATAATTTTAAAAATTTTCATTTCAAAAATTTCATGTAAAATATACAGTGTCCCATTTGTCAATTACTTCCTAAATACCACTAATGAAATAACTGGCCATTTCCAAGTTCTATGTAACACTGTCTTTATGTCTTCAACATTACGTATGATGAGAATTCTCTTTGACTTTCTCATCTTCCCATTCTGTCTATTTACTCTAGAGCTGGGATCATATTTTTCTTTAATGGTTTCATACATATATATGTGTTTAAACCTGACAGATGCTTTCTCTACATTATTGCCATTTTATTACTATTTTATAAATTTTGGTTTCTCTCTTCCTCCAGATATAAATTAAGACTACATTTCGGGTGCTTGATTAGTGTGTTT